ATATTATAGACTATGTTGTGTATTGTGTTCATAGTGGATATATTATAGACTATGTTGTGTATTGGTGTTCATAGTAGAATACTAGACTATGTTGTGTATTGTGTTCATAGTGGATATATTATAGACTATGTTGTGTATTGTGTTCATAGTGGATATATTATAGACTATGTTGTGTATTGTGTTCATAGTGGATATATTATAGACTATGTTGTGTATTGTGTTCATAGTGGATATATTATAGACTATGTTGTGTATTGTGTTCATAGTGGATATATTATAGACTATGTTGTGTATTGTGTTCATAGTGGATATATTATAGACTATGTTGTGTATTGTGTTCATAGTGGATATATTATAGACTATGTTGTGTATTTGTTCATAGTGGATATATTATAGACTATGTTGTGTATTGTGTTCATAGTGGATATATTATAGACTATGTTGTGTATTGTGTTCATAGTGGATATATTATAGACTATGTTGTGTATTGTGTTCATAGTGGATATATTATAGACTATGTTGTGTATTGGTGTTCATAGTGGTATATTATAGACTATGTTGTGTATTGTGTTCATAGTGGGTATATTATAGACTATGTTGTGTATTGTGTTCCATAGTGGGATATATTATAGACTATGTTTGTGTATTGTGTTTTCATAGTGGGTAATTATAGACTATGTTGTGTATTGTGTTCATACTGGATATATTATAGACTATGTTTGTATTGTGTTCATAGTAGATATATTATAGACTATGTTGTGTATTGTGTTCATAGTAGATATATTATAGACTATGTTGTGTATTGTGTTCATAGTGGAATATATTATAGACTATGTTGTGTATTGTGTTCATAGTGGATATATTATAGACTATGTTGTGTATTGTGTTCATAGTGGATATATTATAGACATGGTTTGTGTATTGTGTTCATAGTGGATATATTATAGACTATGTTGTGTATTGTGTTCATAGTGGATATATTATAGACTATGTTGTGTATTGTGTTCATAGTGGGGATATTTTATAGACTATGTGTGTATTGTGTTCATAGTGGATATTATAGACTATTTTGTGTATTGTGTTCTACTGGATATATTTAAACTATGTTGTGTATTGTGTTTCATACGGATATATTATAGACTATGTTGTGTATTGTGTTCATAGTGGATATATTATAGACTATTTGGTATTGGTTCATACTGGATATTTTTTAGACTATGTTTTGATTGTGTTCATACTGGATATATTATAGACTATGTTGTGTATTGTGTTTCATAGTGGATATATTATAGACTATGTTGTTTTATTGTGTTCATAGTGGTTTAAAATTATAGACTATTTGTGTATTGTGTTCATTGTAGATATATTATAGACTATGGTTGGTATTGTGTTCATAGTGGATATATTATAGACTATTTTGTGTATGTGTTAATAGTGGATATATTATAGACTAGTTGTGTATGTGTTCATACTGGATATATTATAGACTATTTGTGTATTGTGTTCTAGTGGATTTTTATAGACTATGTTTGTATTGTGTTCATAGTGGATTATTATAGACTATGTTGTGTATTGTGTTCATAGTGGAATATTATAGACTATGTTGGTATTGTGTTCATATGGTATTTTTATAGACTATTTGGGTATTGTGTTCATAGTGGATATTTTAGACTATGTTGTGTATTGTGTTCATACGGTATATTATAGACTATGTTGTGTATTGTGTTCATAGTGGGTATATTATAGACTATGTTGTGTATTGTGTTCATAGTAGATATATTATACTATTTTGTGGTATTGTGTTCATAGTGGATATATTATAGACTATGTTGTGTATTGTGTTCATAGTGGATATATTATAGACTATGTTGGGGATTGTGTTCATAGTGGATATATTATAGACTATGTTGTGTATGTTGTTCATACTGGATATATTATAGACTATTTTGGGTGTAATGTGTTCATTTTGGATATATTATAGACTATGTTGTGTATTGTGTTCTAGGGGATATATTATAGACTATGTGGTGTATTGTGTTCATAGTGGATATATTATAGACTATGTTGTGTATTGTGTTCTAGTGGATATATAGACTATGTTGTTGTATGTGTTCATAGGGATATATTATAGGACTATGTTGTGTATTGTGTTCATAGTGGATATATTATAGACTATGTTGTGTATTGTGTTCATAGTGGATATATTATAGACTATGTTGTGTATTGTGTTCATAGTGGGTATATTATAGACTATGTTGTGTATTGTGTTCATAGTGGATATATTATAGACTATGTTGTGTATTGTGTTCATAGTGGATATATTATAGACTATGTTGTGTATTGTGTTTCATACTGGATATATTATAGACTATGTTGTGTATTGTGTTCATAGTGGGTATATTATAGACTATGTTGTGTATTGTGTTCATAGTAGATATATTATAGACTATGTTGTGTATTGTGTTCATAGTGGATATATTATAGACTATGTTGTGTATTGTGTTCATAGTGGATATATTATAGACTATGTTGTGTATTGTGTTCATAGTGGATAATTATAGACTATGTTGTGTCATATGTGATATATTATAGACTATGTTGTGTATGTGTTCATACTGGATATATTATAGACTATGTGGTGTATTGTGTTCATAGTGGATATATTATAGACTATGTTGTGTATTGTGTTCATAGTGGATATATTATAGACTATGTTGTGTATTGTGTTCATTGTGATATATTATAGACTATGTTGTGTATGTGTTCATACGTGGATATATTATAGACTATGTGGTGTATTGTGTTCATAGTGGATATATTTAGACTATGTTGTGTATTGTGTTCATAGTGGATATATTATAGACTATGTTGTGTATTGTGTTCATAGTGGATATATTATAGACTATGTTGTTGTATTGTGTTATAGGTGGATTATAGTATAGACCTATGTTGTGTATTGTGTTCATAGTGGATATATTATAGACTATGTTGTGTATTGTGTTCATAGTGGATATATTATAGACTATGTTGTGTATTGTGTTCATAGTGGATATATTATAGACTATGTTGTGTATTGTGTTCATAGTGGATATATTATAGACTATGTTGTGTATTGTGTTCATAGTAGATATATTATAGACTATGTTGTGTATTGTGTTCATAGTAGATATATTATAGACTATGTTGTGTATTGTGTTCATAGTAGATATATTATAGACTATGTTGTATTGTGTTCATAGTAGATATATTATAGACTATGTTGTGTATTGTGTTCATAGTGGATATATTATAGACTATGTTGTGTATTGTGTTCATAGTGGATATATTATAGACTATGTTGTGTATTGTGTTCATAGTAGATAGCTAGACTATGTTGTGTATTGTGTTCATACTGGATATATTATAGACTATGTTGTGTATTGTGTTCATAGTGGGTATATTATAGACTATGTTGTGTATTGTGTTCATAGTAGATATATTATAGACTATGTTGTGTATTGTGTTCATAGTAGATATATTATAGACTATGTGTCACGTTCGTTTAATGACAGGTCAGACCAAGGCGCAGCGTGATATGCGTACATGTTTATTGAACTTAATAAACACACGACAAAACAACAAAGGTAACGAACCGTGAAGTCCAAGGTAGACACACAACTAACCTTACACGGAACAAGATCCCACAACTAGACAGTGCCAATAGGCTGCCTAAGTATGGTCCCCAATCAGAGACAACGAGCTACAGCTGCCTCTGATTGGGAACCACACCGGCCAACATAGATCTATACATGCTAGATAATACACATAGACAAAACACAACAAGGAATATACACACCCTGACTCAACATATAAGCGTCCCCTGAGTCAGGGTGTGACAGTCTGTTGTGTATTGTGTTCATAGTAGATATATTATAGACTATGTTGTGTATTGTGTTCATAGTGGATATATTATAGACTATGTTGTGTATTGTGTTCATAGTGGATATATTATAGACGATGTTGTGTATTGTGTTCATAGTAGATATATTATAGACTATGTTGTTGTATTGTGTTCATAGTAATATTGTGTATTGTGTTCATAGTAGATATATTATAGACTATGTTGTGTATTGTGTTCATAGTAGATATATTATAGACTATGTTGTGTATTGTGTTCATAGTGGATATATTATAGACTATGTTGTGTATTGTGTTCATAGTGGATATATTATAGACTATGTTGTGTATTGTGTTCATAGTGGATATATTATAGACTATGTTGTGTATGTGTTCATAGTGGATATATTATAGACTATGTTGTGTATTGTGTTCATAGTGGATATATTATAGACTATGTTGTGTTATTGTGTTCATAGTGGATATATTATGACTATGTTGTGTATTGTGTTCATAGTGGATATATTATAGACTATGTTGTGTATTGGTTCATAGTGGATTATATTATAGACTATGTTGTGTATTGTGTTCATAGTGGATAATTATAGACTATGTTGTGTATTGTGTTCATAGTGGATATATTATAGACTATGTTGTGTATTGGTTCATAGTGGGATATATTATAGACGATGTTGTGTATTGTGTTCATAGTAGATAGCTAGACTATATGTTGTGTATTGTGTTCATAGTAGATATATTATAGACTATGTTGTGTATTGTGTTCATAGTGGATATATTATAGACTATGTTGTGTATTGTGTTCATAGTGGATATATTATAGACGATGTTGTGTATTGTGTTCATAGTAGATAGCTAGACTATGTTGTGTATTGTGTTCATAGTAGATATATTATAGACTATGTTGTGTATTGTGTTCATAGTGGATATATTATAGACTATGTTGTGTATTGTGTTCATAGTAGATATATTATAGACGATGTTGTGTATTGTGTTCCTAGTAGATAGCTAGACTATGTTGTGTATTGTGTTCATAGTAGATATATTATAGACTATGTTGTGTATTGTGTTCATAGTAGATATATTATAGACTATGTTGTGTATTGTGTTCATAGTAAATAGCTAGACTATGTTGTGTATTGTTGCTATTTGGAGGCAGAATGTTTCAGTCGTTCTAGTCTGGTCCTGAAGCTCTCCTCTTGGACTCTCAGCTTCTCTGTGAATTCAGCCTGTAACAACACAAGAGGAAAGCCATTGATAATAGTTTGGATAACTGCTCATTATTTAACACATGGTGAATAGGAGTGCTTCAACATTTACAAAATGGTGCCCTATTCATCCAAAAGATGATTGCATGTATTTCCCCGGCTGCATGCTGCACTGTGTCCTGGAGAATGGAACAGTTCCAATCTACTTATGGAATTCACCCACAGCTTGTCCTACATTTGACCATTTCAACATGTCTACCATATAAGGTATGATGAGACCCACATGCATGTTGAAACTCCTGGGAACATATCCCCTTCAGAGGAATAAATGAATGTTATTAAATATCGTTTAACAAGGGGGCAGCAATTTGGCCTGGCAGAGACGATCCACATGAAGGTTAAAGCCGTCACTACAATCTGGAGCCGGAGTTAGAGAACCTGCTGGAAGGGTGCAGCGTTCACTGGATCTCGCTCTCATTGTTCTGACTGGAACTGACGGATTCCATTACATCATCTGCTCAATGGCATCTTTTGATATAAGTACAAATGCAGCAGAGTGAAATATGTAATTGATCTTGAGCAGACAGAAAATAAGAGAGAATGGTTAGAAATAGCTGTAGTTGTGTGGTGGTGGATCATTCAGAATCAGGATGCTGCACACTGTTGGTGATGAGGTCTCACATTACAGCAGAGCCACTCAATAACATGGACACCAGTCAGTCAGTCAGTCAGTCAGCCAGTCAGTCAGAATGTCTGTCAGTCAGTCAGTCAGCCTGTAAGTCAGTCAGCCAGCATGTCAGTCGGCCTGTCAGTCAGTCAGTCAGTCTGTCAGCCTGTCAGTGAGCCTGTCAGTCAGCCTGTCAGTCAACCTGTCAGTCAGTCAGTCAGCATGTCAGTCAGTCAGTCAGTCAGTCAGCCTGTCAGTCAGTCAGTCAGCCTGTCAGTCAGTCAGCCTGTCAGTCAGTCAGTCACTCAGTCAGTCAGTCAGTCAGTCACTCAGTCAGTCAGTCAGCATGTCAGTCAGTCAGTCACTCAGTCAGTAAGTCAGTCAGCATGTCAGTCTGCCTGTCAGTTAGTCAGCCTGTCAGTCTGTCAGTCTGTCAGTCACTCACTCAGTCAGTCAGTCAGCCTGTCAGTCAGTCAGCCTGTCAGTCAGTCAGTCAGCCTGTCAGTCTGTCAGTCACTCAGTCAGTCAGTCACTCTGTCAGTCACTCACTCAGTCAGTCAGTCAGTCAGTCAGTCAGCCTGTCAGTCAGTCAGTCAGCCTGTCAGTCTGTCAGTCACTCAGTCAGTCAGTCACTCTGTCAGTCACTCACTCAGTCAGTCAGTCAGCCTGTCAGTCAGTCAGTCAGCCTGTCAGTCTGTCAGTCACTCAGTCAGTCAGTCACTCTGTCAGTCACTCACTCAGTCAGTCAGTCAGCCTGTCAGTCAGTCAGCCTGTCAGTCAGTCAGTCAGCCTGTCAGTCTGTCAGTCACTCAGTCAGTCAGTCACTCTGTCAGTCACTCACTCAGTCAGTCAGTCAGCCTGTCTGTCAGTCAGTCAGTCAGTCAGCCTGTCAGTCAGTCAGCCAGTCAGCCTGTCAGTCAGTCACTCACTCAGTCAGTCAGTCAGTCAGCCTGTCAGTCAGTCAGCCTGTCTGTCAGTCAGTCAGTCAGTCAGCCTGTCAGTCAGTCACTCACTCAGTCAGTCAGTCAGTCAGCCAGTCAGCCTGTCTGTCAGTCTGTCAGTCAGTCACTCTGTCAGTCAGTCAGTCAGTCAGTCAGTCAGTCAGTCAGTCAGCCTGTCAGTCAGTCAGTCAGTCAGCCTGTCAGTCAGTCAGTCAGTCAGTCAGTCAGTCAGTCAGTCAGTCACTCAGTCAGTCAGTCAGCCTGTCAGTCAGTCAGTAACCCAGTCAGTCAGTCAGTCAGTCAGTCAGTCAGTCAGTCAGTCACTCAGTCAGTCAGTCAGCCAGTCAGTCAGTCAGTAACCCAGTCAGTCAGTCAGTCAGTCAGTCAGTCACTCAGTCAGTCAGTCAGTCAGTCTGTCAGTCAGTCAGTCAGTCAGTCAGTCAGTCAGTCAGTCAGTCACTCAGTCAGTCAGTCAGCCTGTCAGTCAGTCAGTAACCCAGTCAGTCAGTCAGTCAGTCAGTCAGTCACTCAGTCAGTCAGCAGTCAGTCAGTCAGTCAGTCAGTCACTCAGTCAGTCAGTCAGTCAGTCAGTCAGTCAGTCAGTAACCAGTCAGTCAGTCAGTCAGTCAGTCAGTCAGTCAGTCAGTAACCCAGTCAGTCAGTCAGTCAGTCAGTCAGTCAGTCAGTCAGTCAGTCAGTCAGTCAGTCAGTCAGTCAGTCAGTCAGTCAGTCAGTCAGTCAGTCAGTCAGTCAGTCAGTCAGTCACTCCAGTCAGTCAGTCAGTCAGTCAGTCAGTCAGCCTCAGTCAGTCAGTCAGTCAGTCAGCAGTCAGTAACCCAGTCAGTCAGTCAGTCAGTCAGTCAGTAACCCAGTCAGTCAGTCAGTCAGTCAGTCAGTCATCAGTCAGTCAGTCAGTCAGTAACCCAGTCAGCCTGTCAGTCAGTCAGTCAGTCAGTCAGTCAGTCAGTCAGTCAGTCAGTCACTGTCAGTCAGTCAGTCAGTCAGTCAGTCAGTCAGTCAGTCAGTCAGTCTGTCAGTGCAGCTGTTCAGCTCTTTATCACACAGGCCTCTCTATTGTTATTACGTCTGGCATCCTATTCCCTATTTAGGGCACTCCTTTCAACCAAGGCCCACAGGACTCTGGTCAAACGTAGGGCACTACATAGGGAATAGGGTGCCATTAGGGACACATGCCTACATGTCTCTGTTGTCCTATTAAGACCTATCATAATGGAAACCACCAGTACGGTTCTATAACATGATAGCTAGTAGTATAATACAAAGCTGCGTTTCCTGTTTCACATCAAACATATTCAACTGGTGTGGAAGACATGAAAACCTCCAACAACAATCCACACGTTGTTGTTCTGCTGAAGTCAGCATGGTTATATTTGGACTGGTTATTGGAGTTCAGCTGAGAATTGACCTCCAAATGGACAGGGGTGTTTTGTTTGGAACAATGATCAAATTCAACTGTATGAAACACCAGTAGAAAATACATGAAGATTGTTTATTTCAATAAAAACTATACAACAGCTTTAAAGGATTCAGATTCATCATAAAATCCTACCTGTAGATTTCCCAGCATCTCTGTGGTCAGGTCTCCCAGCACGTCTTTGACATCCTGAATGTTATATCCTTCGAACCCTGTAGCCTCCTTCTCCTTCTCCTGCAGATCTGTTTTAACTGCTACCTCTCCATCCTCCTCCTGGCTGGTCCCCTGTCCCTGGGTCAGTAGGACACCATCCTCCTCCTGGCTGGTCCTCTGTCCCTGGGTCAGTAGGACACCATCCTCCTCCTGGCTGGTCCCCTGTCCCTGGGTCAGTAGGACACCATCCTCCTCCTGGCTGGTCCTCTGTCCCTGGGTCAGTAGGACACCATCCTCCTCCTGGCTGCTCCTCTGTCCCTGGGTCAGTAGGACACCATCCTCCTCCTGGCTGGTCCTCTGTCCCTGGGTCAGTAGAACACCATCTATCAGACAGGCTGGTCCCCTGTCCCTGGGTCAGTAGGACACCACCTATCAGACAGGCTGGTCCTCTGTACCTGGGTCAGTAGAACACCATCCTCCTCCTGGCTGCTCCTCTGTCCCTGGGTCAGTAGAACACCATCTATCAGACAGGCTGGTCCTCTGTCCCTGGGTCAGTAGAACACCATCTATCAGACAGGCTGGTCCTCTGTCCCTGGGTCAGTAGGACACCATCTATCAGACAGGCTGGTCCTCTGTCCCTGGGTCAGTAGGACACCATCTATCAGACAGGCTGGTCCCCTGTCCCTGAGTCAGTAGGACACCATCTATGTCCCTGGGTCAGTAGGACACCATCTATCAGACAGGCTGGTCCTCTGTCCCTGGGTCAGTATCAGACAGGCTGGTCCCCTGTCCCTGAGTCAGTAGGACACCATCTATGTCCCTGGGTCAGTAGGACACCATCTATCAGACAGGCTGGTCCTCTGTCCCTGGGTCAGTAGGACACCATCTATCAGACAGGCTGGTCCCCTGTCCCTGGGTCAGTAGAACACCACCTATCAGACAGGCTGGTCCTCTGTCCCTGGGTCAGTATCAGACAGGTAGAATATTACAGTAATGGAGGTAGTCATCAGTAGCCCTCCAGTACAGTACCTCTTCACGCTGTTCAACAGGAGAAGGAGCCATGTAATGGAGGAAGACTTCAGTAGTCATGCCTTCTTCCAGCGGAGCTACAAAGTCTGCTGAGCTGATCACCTCAATGGTCCTCTGGAATACAGTTAGTCAGGAAACATAGAGGTTGTATTCTCACCCATGACTTTACAGTAGAATATGTCAGATGTTTGCCTTCCCTTCCACATTTGTGAATATATTAAGAGAAGGATCATATCAAATGGTAGCAGACGTTGTAAAGATATCAATGGGAAATCAAACAGAGTCATTCCTAGTAGTTCCAACCTGTCAGGGATGAGTCACTATACTCCAGCTCTCTGTCTGGAAATAAAGAGTCTGCACAGTCTATTATGTCACTTCCTGGAATGTTGCAGCTCCTATAAAAGGTCTCTGGTTGAACAAATCAATGTCATGAGATCTAATGTTATTATAGGCAACATGAATGCTGTGATAATGTGAGAGGAACAGAGTGAATTGTGGGGATTGCATTTGTTTCAGCACAGTACATGCAGTATAGGGCTGGTACATTCACAGGAAAGGGAGTTCACTAGTTAGACTTGTCCTGATGGTGAGTTAGTCAGAGATGACAGATAAATGGTCTCCTGATGGTGAGTTAGTTAGAGATGACAGATAAATGGTCTCCTGATGGTGAATTAGTTAGAGATGACAGATAAATGGTCTCCTGATGGTGAATTAGTCAGAGATGACAGATAAATGGTCTCCTGATGGTGAGTTAGTTAGAGATGACAGATAAATGGTCTCCTGATGGTGAATTAGTCAGAGATGACAGATAAATGGTCTCCTGGTGGTGAGTTAGTTAGAGATGACAGATAAATGGTCTCCTGATGGTGAATTAGTTAGAGATGACAGATAAATGGTCTCCTGATGGTGAGTTAGTTAGAGATGACAGATAAATGGTCTCCTGATGGTGAATTAGTTAGAGATGACAGATAAATGGTCTCCTGGTGGTGAGTTAGTTAGAGATGACAGATAAATGGTCTCCTGGTGGTGAGTTAGTTAGTCAGAGATGACAGATCAATGGTCTCCTGGTGGTGAGTATGACAGAGATGACAGATACATGGTCTCCTGGTGGTGAGTAAGACAGAGATGACAGATAAATGGTCTCCTGGTGGTGAGTAAGACAGAGATGACAGATCAATGAGTTAGTTAGACATAACAGATAACTGGTCTCCTGATGGTGAGTTAGTTAGTTAGAGATGACAGATAAACGGTCTCCTGATGGTGAGTTAGTCAGAGATGATAGATTAATGGTCTCCTGATGGTGAGTTAGTTAGTTAGTTAGTTAGTTAGTTAGTTAGTTAGTTAGTTAGTTAGAGATGACAGATTAATGGTCTCCTGGTGGTGAGTTAGTTAGTCAGAGATGACATAAATTGTCATGACTTCGGCCGAGGCTGCCTCCCCTCCTTGTTCGGGCAGGCTTCGGCATTCATCGTCACCGGAGTACTAACCACTGCCGCCCCAATCATCATCACAATTGTCTTGTCAATTACACACACCTGGTTCATATCCCCTCATTAGTACATGTATAAGTGTTCCCTCTGCCCCCTTGTCCTTGTGGGTGATTGTTTATTGTGAAGGTTAGTGAAGCTCGTGTATTTTGTATAGACGGGAGTTTTCCTGTGTGCCTTGTATTTTCCAGTGCGCCTGTTTTGTGCCCTGGAGTGTGTTTGACACATTTCTGCGTAAACCTGTATTTTTACTGATTAAAGCCTGTTATTCTGTGATTTACCCTCCTGCGCCTGAATCCTTCAACACCACCTCATCACATAAATGGTCTCCTGGTGGTGAGTTAGTTAGAGATGACAGATGAATGGTCTCCTGATGGTTAGTTAGTGAGAGATGACAGATAAATGGTCTCCTGGTGGTGAGTTAGTTAGTCAGAGATGACAGATAAATGGATCCTTAGGGACAATGACAGGAAAGGACTCTCTCTTTATGGTCACTGCCCTTCCAAGTTACTCACTAGCTTCCTTAAGGTAACCTCAACATACATACGGGACGCGCTGACACACGCATAGCTTCCTTAAAGGTAACCTCAACATACATACGGGACGCACTGACACACGCATAGCTTCCTTAAGGAAACCTCAACATACATACGGGACGCACTGACACACGCATACACAGCCTCACCTTCTTCCCAATGAGTAGCTCCTCTCTGGGTTGGTGGAAGAGAAACTCATAGAGGTGGTAGTTCTGAAAGAGACTACAGTAAACAGGTGAACCAACAGATCAGAACTTCAACATCCACTACGAGGTTCACTGCTCTGAATGGATTATCACCAGGTTAAGGAAGGACACTGTTAACGTGATATTAATAATGTAGACCCTACTACAAAAGGCAGATAGAGAAGAGACTTGCTACCTGCACTTGAGGTAGTCAGTGATGGACATGGCCTGCTCTGCATCAAACAGTGAATCAACCTCTGGAGAAGGAGACTGGCGCGTTCCTGATATCAACTTGGCAAACTCATTCAGGTTATCACCAAATGGCATCTGCTTCTCTGGGACATTGTGGACAGATATAAAATACAGATATTAGCCACAGCCAGTCCACATTGATGTTAGCCATAAGAATCTGACTAGACGTTCATTCCTTCTCTCTCTAGCCGGAATAGTGCTATGCCAAGATCAGGACAGCGAGGAGCAAGAGATCTGGCTCGGAAAACGGACCTTAATCCAGGGGTGGGTGATGGCGCTGTATTCCTAATTATCATATTATCCCAACTGACAAATCGAGAAGATTGAAATACTGCTAGTTTTGAATGAAAATGCCTTTTCGTCAGCATGCTAGGCTAGCTAATGCTAAAGGTCTTAATAATTATGTGAACACACAGCCCCTAATGAAGGTCTTAATGATTATGTGAACACACAGCCCCTAATGAAGGTCTTAATGATTATGTGAACACACAGCCCCTAATGAAGGTCTTAATGATTATGTGAGCACACAGCCCCTAATGAAGGTCTTAATGATTATGTGAGCACACAGCCCCTAATGAAGGTCCTAATGATTATCTGAACACACAGCCCCTAATGAAGGTCTTAATGATTATGTGAGCACACAGCCCCTAATGAAGGTCCTAATGATTATGTGAACACACAGCCCCTAATGAAGGTCTTAATGATTAGGTGGTGAACACACAGCCCCTAATGAAGGTCTTAATGATTAGGTGGTGAACACACAGCCCCTAATGAAGGTCTTAATGATTATGTGAACACACAGCCCCTAATGAAGGTCTTAATTATTATGTGAACACACAGCCCCTAATGAAGGTCTTCATAATTATGTGAACACACAGCCCCCAATGAAGGTCTTAATGATTATGTGAGCACACAGCCCCTAATGAAGGTCTTAATGATTAGGTGGTGAACACACAGCCCCTAATGAAGGTCTTAATGATTATGTGAACACACAGCCCCTAATGAAGGTTTTAATGATTATGTGAACACACAGCCACTAATGAAGGTCTTAATGATTATGTGAACACAGCCCCTAATGAAGGACTTAATGATTAGGTGAACACACAGCCCCTAATGAAGGTCTTAATGATTAGGTGGTGAACACACAGCCCCTAATGAAGGTCTTAATGATTAGGTGGTGAACACACAGCCCCTAATGAAGGTTTTAATGATTATGTGAACACACAGCCCCTAATGAAGGTTTTAATGATTAGGTGAACACAGCCCCTAATGAAGGACTTAATGATTATGTGAACACACAGCCCCTAATGAAGGTCTTAATGATTAGGTGGTGAACACACAGCCCCTAATGAAGGTCTTAATGATTATGTGAACACACAGCCCCTAATGAAGGTTTTAATGATTATGTGAACACACAGCCCCTAATAAAGGTCTTAATGATTATGTGAACACACAGCCCCTAATGAAGGTCTTAATGATTATGTGAACACACAGCCCCTAATAAAGGTCTTAATGATTAGATGAGCACACAGCCCCTAATGAAGGTCTTAATGATTATGTGGTGAACACACAGCCCCTAATGAAGGCCTTAATGATTAGGTGGTGAACACACAGCCCCTAATGAAGGCCTTAATGATTAGGTGGTGAACACACAGCCCCTAATGAAGGTCTTAATGATTAGGTGGTGAACACACAGCCCCTAATGAAGGCCTTAATGATTAGGTGGTGAACACACAGCCCCTAATGAAGGTCTTAATGATTAGGTGGTGAACACACAGCCCCTAATGAAGGTCTTAATGATTAGGTGGTGAACACACAGCCCCTAATGAAGGTCTTAATGATTAGATGAACACACAGCCCCTAATGAAGGTCTTAATGATTAGGTGAACACACAGCCCCTAATAAAGGTCTTAATGATTAGATGAGCACACAGCCCCTAATGAAGGTCTTAATGATTATGTGGTGAACACACAGCCCCTAATGAAGGCCTTAATGATTAGGTGGTGAACACACAGCCCCTAATGAAGGCCTTAATGATTAGGTGGTGAACACACAGCCCCTAATGAAGGTCTTAATGATTAGGTGGTGAACACACAGCCCCTAATGAAGGCCTTAATGATTAGGTGGTGAACACACAGCCCCTAATGAAGGTCTTAATGATTAGGTGGTGAACACACAGCCCCTAATGAAGGTCTTAATGATTAGGTGGTGAACACACAGCCCCTAATGAAGGTCTTAATGATTAGATGAACACACAGCCCCTAATGAAGGTCTTAATGATTATGTGAACACACAGCCCCTAATGAAGGTCCTAATGATTATGTGAACACACAGCCCCTAATGAAGGTCTTAATGATTATGTGAACACACAGCCCCTAATGAAGGTCTTAATGATTATGTGAACACACAGCCCCTAATGAAGGTCTTAATGATTATGTGAACACACAGCCCCTAATGAAGGTCTTAATGATTATGTGAGCACACAGCCCCTAATGAAGGTCTTAATGATTATGTGAACACACAGCCCCTAATGAAGGTCTTAATGATTATGTGAACACACAGCCCCTAATAAAGGTCTTAATGATTATGTGAACACACAGCCCCTAAAAAAGGGCAAAATGAGCAGAATTTTATGAACTTAGTTATAAAATTGCTCAATCTTCTCTCTGTGACTCTGCCCCATGGCAAAATGTGTAGAATTTCAGCAAAATTGCTTTAAAACCGCAACATTTTCTCTACACCCCATAGCAAATTGTGTAGCATTGGAGGAAATTAATTATAAAACGTCTATATTTTTCTCTCCGCTGTCAAGAGGGGGGCCGCTAAAGAATGTTCTCGCAAGATGGGGTGGGACTCCAACAGCATTTTACTTAGGGCATAATTAAGCGCTGCTCTGCCTTCTTAACAACACTATGAACAAGGCAGGTCCTACAGGCCCTTGTTTTGTCGCACCTGGACTACTGTTCAGTAGTGTGGTCAGGTGCAACAAGGAGGGACTTGGGAAAATTGCAGTTGGCGCAGAACAGGGCAGCACGGCTGGCCCTAGGATGTACACAGAGAGCTAACATTAATAATAATAATATAATATGCCATTTAGCAGACGCTTCTATCCAAAGTGACTTACAGTCATGCGTGCATACATTTTTATTTTTATTATTATTTATTTTTTTGTGTATGGGTGGTCCCGGGGATCGAACCCACTACCTTAGCGTTACAAGCGCCGTGCTCTACCAGCTGAGCTACAGAGGCCCATGCATGTCAATCTCTCCTGGCTCAAAGTGGAAGAGAGATTGACTTCATCACTGCTTGTTTTTTTAAGAGGTGTTGACAAGCTGAATGTACCGAGCTGTCTGTTTGGAATGCTGGCACACAGCTCAGACACCCATGCATACCCCACGAGACATGCCACCAGAGGTCTCTTCACAGTCCCCAAAGTCCAGAACAGACTACGGGGAACGCACAGTACTACATAGAGCCATGACTACATGGAACTCTATTCCACATCATGTAACTCAGTCAAGCAGTAAAATCAGATAAAAAAAACAGATAAAACTACATTTTATGGAACAGCGCGGACTGTGAAGAGACACACACACACAGCATTCGCAAACACATGCAAACACCCGCACTCTACACACATACATTTTTATATTGTTATTTTCCTGTATTATTGATTTTGTATTGTAAATATGTTTTGGTAGAGTAGTGTGTAATAATGTGTTGTGTTATGTATTGTTTTATTGTATGTACATTGTGATTGGACCCCAGGAAGAGTAGCTGCTGCCTCGGCAGCCGCTAATGGGGATCAATAATAAATACAAATACAACCAAGATGGTCACAAATTAGAGCAGTGGCTGGGGGTAGGCCGGAGAGGTTTGGGAAACACTGTCTGTGTATACCGTAGACCGGAGAGGTTTGGGAAACACTGTCTGTGTATACCGTAGACCGGAGAGGTTTGGGAAACACTGTCTGTGTATACCGTAGCCCAAGTAAGGCCGGAGAGGTTTGGGAAACACTGTCTGTGTATACCGTAGCCCAAGTAAGACCGGAGAGGTTTGGGAAACACTGTCTGTGTATACCGTAGCCCAAGTAAGGCCGGAGAGGTTTGGGAAACACTGTCTGTGTATACCGTAGCCCAAGTAAGACCGGAGAGGTTTGGGAAACACTGTCTGTGTATACTGTAGCCCAAGTAAGGCCGGAGAGGTTTGGGAAACACTGTCTGTGTATACCGTAGCCCAAGTAAGACCGGAGAGGTTTGGGAAACACTGTCTGTGTATACCGTAGCCCAAGTAAGACCGGAGAGGTTTGGGAAACACTGTCTGTGTATACTGTAGCCCAAGTAAGGCGGGAGAGGTTTGGGAAACACTGTCTGTGTATACCGTAGCCCAAGTACAATAACTGCAGGCTACTTACGAGTTATTAACTGTCGGTCTGTGGGGTGGCTCTTCTGTCTGTCGCCTATAAATCCCATGACTTACCCCTGATATTGTCTAGTACCAGTTGCTGTAGAGCCATGATGAATGAGATCTGTTGACAGGTGTAGTTCATCTGCCTGGCCCACCAGAATCCACAGACAAAGTAGCCCAACAGGGACGCCTCCTTTAGACATGTCTGGCAGTTCTTCAAACCAAGTATCTCTTCAAACTGTCTGTTGTAAAAACAAAAATCAACAACGTACGCATACATGAAACACTTCCAAATAAACTGGCTATTAGGCCTATATATCCTTGTTACTTACAATTGCACTTGTTCCACTGTCAAATCTAACAGCGTGTTGATTTGTTCATGGGAAATACATTTCCATTGAGGGTTGGCTTTTTCAGCGTCATTTTCCTGGATTAAATTGGATTCAGAATACAAGTGAGTTTTGGTTAGCTAGCCAAACTAGGTTAGCTCTAGCTATGATAACAGTTTGTCAAATAATCAAAATAACCAGACAAATGATGTAGTAAATATTTCAAATAATATAAACTATTGATAGGGGTTTTAAACATATCCTCTTACTTTGGACGCAACGTCATTTCTGTCGTTTGCATTTTTATCCGCCGATTTGTTAGTTTGTTTGGCTTTTGCAGACATGTTGTAGCCACCTGCGTTACCACGGCGACATGTACACAGCGGGCGGGCAGTGAGCTTCCTGCTTCTCGAGATGGTTACCACGGCGACATGTACACAGCGGGCGGGCCGTGAGCTTCCTGCTTGTCTGTCCGTCAAGATGGTTACCACGGCGACATGTACATACATATAAAAGCATATACATTGATAAAAGCTTATCCTTAGATCTGTGTGGTCAACTTGGGCCCCGTATAGCTCAGTTGGTAGAGCATGGCGTTTGCAACGCCAGGGTTGTGGGTTCGATTCCCACGGGGAGGCAGTATGAAAACAATAATAAAATAAAAAAATGTATGCACTCACTAACTTTAAGTAGCTCTGGATAAGAGCGTCTGCTAAAATGTAAATGTAACCACTGTTGACTTGGGCCGGAGCTGTCCGGAGCGCCATACCGGCACTTCTAATTTTTGGGGGAATTTGCATTCCGTCTCCTCTATAAAACAAAGTCAAAGAAAGTACAGTATGAAGATCGGCAGAAGCTGCTTCTCCAATAGAAAACCTCGATCACGCAGCTTTGAAGGCGACGTCATGGCGACGTTGGCTGTTTAAACTCACCGGGTAGAAACACGTCATCAGGTCTAACGGTAGTGTCGCGCCGAACTGCGCATGTGCAGGCCGTCAATATCAAAGGCATTCGTTAGATATAAAGTTGTTTTTTGCGAAAATGAAAACGTGTAATTTTTCTCACTTTCACGAGGTTGGAGTAATAACAATAAGACACTAGCTTAAATCTAGGTTGTGCTTTTAGATTTCGAGAAAAATGAAATAGGAATGAAGGCGGGATCTGCATTGAATTGCAATGAAGAGTGGTCATTCATTTCCTGATTCCACTTTGTCCAAATGTATTGGCTGCTAGTCTGTGGATTTCTGCGTGACTGTAGACTGTTTGAGATTGCGCAGATTGAAAATGCGCCAGTTTGAATGCGCATGATGCACTGTTCCAAATTGTCAAATTTAGGGTTTTAAGGTCATGAAAAGTCATGGAAATTAGTTTAATAATTGTTGTTAATGTAATTCATGAAGGCACACTTAAATATGATCAATCACTTAGAAATCGACATAACAGGAATGATCGGAATGACCCTACAGTGCATGTCTGTGTATGCTGGGTGTGCGACAGTGCGAGTGGGCCGTTGCCCGAGGAGAGAGAGCGGGACATTTCAGCAGCAGGTATAACATAATGACAGACGGACAGACTAACTAGATGGATATAGAGCGGGACATTTCAGCAGCAGGTATAACATAATGACAGACAGACTAACTAGATGGATATAGAGCGGGACATTTCAGCAGCAGGTATAACATAATGACAGACAGACAGACTAACTAGATGGATATAGAGCGGGACATTTCAGCAGCAGGTATAACATAATGACAGACAGACTAACTAGATGGATATAGAGCGGGACATTTCAGCAGCAGGTATAACATAATGACAGACGGACAGACTAACTAGATGGATATAGAGCGGGACATTTCAGCAGCAGGTATAACATAATGACAGACAGACTAACTAGATGGATATAGAGCGGGACATTTCAGCAGCAGGTATAACATAATGACAGACAGACTAACTAGATGGATATAGAGCGGGACATTTTAGCAGCAGGTATAACATAATGACAGACAGACTAACTAGATGGATATAGAGCGGGACATTATAGCAGCAGGTATAACATAATGACAGACAGACTAACTAGATGGATATAGAGCGGGACATTTCAGCAGCAGGTATAACATAATGACAGACAGACTAACTAGATGGATATAGAGCGGGACATTTCAGCAGCAGGTATAACATAATGACAGACAGACTAACTAGATGGATATAGAGCGGGACATTTCAGCAGCAGGTATAACATAATGACAGACAGACAGACTAACTAGATGGATATAGAGCGGGACATTTCAGCAGCAGGTATAACATAATGACAGACAGACAGACTAACTAGATGGATATAGAGCGGGACATTTCAGCAGCAGGTATAACATAATGACAGACGGACTAACTAGATGGATATAGAGCGGGACATTATAGCAGCAGGTATAACATAATGACAGACAGACTAACTAGATGGATATAGAGCGGGACATTTCAGCAGCAGGTATAACATAATGACAGACGGACTAACTAGATGGATATAGAGCGGGACATTATAGCAGCAGGTATAACATAATGACAGACAGACTAACTAGATGGATATTCAAAACATAACTTGTAGCAGTTCTCACTAGTTAACTGTAGCGAACGAAGCATTCATGTCTTATTTTTTTTGCCTTTCCACCAGCACTGTAGAACCTAAATAAATCTGCACTGTTGGAAAGCTGGGATTCCCCTCTATTACACAGCAGCCATGTTATATGGATAGCCTAAATGACTAATCACTTCCTGTGATTAGATCTCAACTGAAACAAGAAGATGTGAGCCTTATTCTAATCTACACACAATACCCCATAATGACAAAGCAAAAACAGGTTTTTTGAAATGTTTGCATATTTATAAAAAATTAAAATAAATGATGCTGCGACTGTTTGAACGTTAAATGACGAGAAAGAGGCATTGATGCGAGTAACCAGTCTTGTTCAGTATATTGCAAGATATCCGGGTCTCTCAAGTACACCGGTAAAACACTGGAGTTGCAGTAATTAACATTTACCAACAGATGGCATCATTGTGTTATCTGCCACCCATAACATCTTCCCTTTTATAAAATAGGACAGGAGCTGTCAATTCACTAACAAAACAAACCTAGTAGTAATTTCCAACATGAACAGTTTAGTATATATATATATATATATATATTTTTTTTTTTAATTTCAGTTAACCACTTAACACATTTTGATACTCTCTTCACTTTTATCTCTGTCTGTCAACAATCCCTAATGGGAAACCTACAGATTAAGTATTTTTGGTGGCTGGGACAGACGCCCGCAGCGTGAAAAAACAGGGGGCTTGTCTGCGTGGACTGCGGGCTCCCGCACAGGCTTGTCACCTGACTGTCTAAGGGGAGTATTGATGGGCGAGGGAGTGGCCGACCTGTGATCCCCTGGCTCTTCTCCCAGTGCCTCAGGCCCCATGTGACTTGCTGGGGTTCCGTCTTTTGTCATGCGACCCCTATGACCATCAGAGTTCTGAGTAGAAGCTGGCTCAGCAGTCCGAAGGCCAACCCTGTTACGACGGTCCAGTGATCCATTCACTTCCACCAAGTAGGAGCGTGGTGTCACTTTCTGCACACAGGATCCGAGTCTCCAGAGGCCCGTCCGGTCCCCTGGTAGTGGCTTCATTCGCACCGTTTCACCCACCCTGAGCTCAGGTAAGTCTTTTGCTGATTTGTCGTAGATGAACTTGGAGACCTGTCTTCTGTGACATAGCTTCACCAGCACGTCTGTCACCACACATGGCTCCAGGAGAGTGCTTGCTACTGGCAGAGCTGCTTTTAAACACCGTGCCATGAGGTGCTGGGCCTGGGCTGCTATCCATGCCTTCTGTCGGGGTATTGCGCCACTGCAGGATTGCTTTCCAGGCATCTTTGCCCTCTCGCAGAGCTTTTTTGCAGAGGTTCTTTGCGATTTTGACTGCCGACTCAGCCTTCCCATTAGCTTTTGGGTGTCGTGATGATGAAGTGACGTGTTAGTTTTTGATTTCACTCTGCATTCCTGGCCAATACAGTGTGTCACGTGCTTGTCTGTAACAGGCCTCACCTCCAATGTGACTTGAGTGCACGCGCGCCAACATCTCAGGGCGCAGAGACCGGGGAATAACGACTCTCTAACCCTTGAATATTACTCCGTTTTGAACACTGAGCTCTTCTTTGACTGGCCAATATTCTCTGGTGGCTAAAGCAGTTTCTTCCTTGCAGTCGTGCCAGCCCATCAGAATCACAGACCTCAATGCCTGGAGTTGCTCGTCCCTGTCTGTGTGCTGTCTGATTTGTATAAGGCGCTGGTCCGTAACATTGAGGTAGTCAGCCTGGTTGATGTGTTCAACATCCACTTGCTCTGTTTGTAAGCTGCACACTGCGTGTTGTTCATGCATGGAGCGTGTGTGAGTGCCTGATGCAGTAGCCCTACTGAGCGTGTCACTCACATACATCTCTGGCCCTGGCTTATACACCACCTTGAGGTTGTAGTTTTGTAGGGCCAGTAGCATGCTCTGCAGTCGTTTCGGGGCATTCAGGAGAGGCTTGCTGAATATAGCAATAAGGGGCTTGTGATCTGTCTCTGCGGTAATATTGTCACGCCCGTACAGGTAGTGGTGGAAGCGTTGGCATGCAAACACAATGCTGAGGCACTCCTTCTCTATCTGGGCATAGTTCTGCTCTGTTGGAGTGAGTGCCCTAGAGGCGAATGCCACAGGCTGGACCTCTTGCATGAGGCAACAGCCCAGTCCATACTGGCTTGAGTCACTCTGAATCGTGACAGGTTTTGACACATCGTAGTATCGCAGTACAGGTGTCTGGGTGACCAGTTGTTTTATTTCCCTCACCGCTGTGTCATGTTTTGGGAGCCAATGCCAGATGGTGTCCTTGTCCATGAGCCTCCTTAGTGGTTCACACACTTCAGTGTCACGCCCTGACTCTGAGGACTCTTATTTGTTGAGTCAGGGTGTGATTTTCCTTATTGTGTTTGTTCATTGTTGTAGAATCTAGTATGTCTAGATCTATGTTGACCGGTGTGGTTCTCAATCAGAGGCAGCTGTCGCTCATTGTCTCTGATTGGGGACCATACTTAGGCAGCCTATTGGACCTAGTGGGTTGTGGGATCTTGTTCCGTGTGAGGTATGTTGTTTGTCTACCTTGGACTTCACGTTTCGTTTCATTTGTTGTTTTGTCGTGGTGTTTATTCAGTATAACTAAACATGTATGCATATCACGCTGCGCCTTGGTCCGTCCCGTCTGTAAACGAGCGTGACATTCAGAGAGCCGCGGTAGGAACTTGGCCAGGTAGGTGACGAATCCGACGAAGCGCTGCACTGCCTTCATGTCAGATGGGTGGGGCATATCAAGACAGCCTTCACTTTTTCTGGATCCGCCTTCAATCCCATGAAAGCGAACCTCTGGCACTTTAAACTGAAGCTTTTTTATGCTTAGTCTTAGCTTGACCTGTCTGCATCTGACCATCAGGGCCA